CATGAATTTATCAATAGTCAAAATACATTCTCTACATACCTCCCAAACAAAAGAGGATATATGACTTTCTGAATATATCTATATGGGAATCAAGTGTCCATATCTTCAATCTTAAACAGATGCTTGTAGTAAGATTTAACTGAGAAAAACTCATAAGAATTGAGACACCACTCATGTTTATCGTTGCCACCATCCATGGTCACAAGAGATAAAGTGCACAGCAAATTTCATATTCAAGAATCTCCTAGTCAATGAGGTTTCTCTTCACAATAACTGACCAAACCTTTTTCCCTCCCCCAACTTCCCTGAAGGAATTGCAAACCAAAAATTCTTGTTGTTGAGTAATGGCAAAAATCTAAGAATATTGATCTCTAGGTGGTCCACCATCCAACCGCGGATCCAACCACAATCTGACTTTGTCACCTTGCCAACATTCCGCTTAATGCATGCTTGGAATTAAGCTCAATCAATCCCAATTTTCTTTCATAAACCTTTCCCGTGTGGTCTTGATGTATCTCGAGTAAACCATCCTCTCTCATCAACACCGAATTTCGCAACAACGATCCTTTTCCATAACATATCATCATTTATCATAAATTTCCACAACCACTTGCTTTGTAAAGCCACATTCATCTCCACCAAAGACCGTAACCTTAGTCCATCAAGGGGTAGTGGCTTTTCGATATCTTCCCATCGCACTAAATAGTATCTTCCTTTTTCCTCAGAGGTATCAAATAAAAATCTGCATTGAATACCTTCCAATTTCTTAGCCACACTCACTAGATTAGTAAAAAGAGATATAAAGTAAATGGACAAGTTTCTCAGTGTGCTTCTTATAAGTGTAAGTTTTCCCCATTAGAAAGTAGTGCTTGCTACCATCTTGCTAGCAGCTGTTAAAATCCATTAACTATTGGGTCCCATGTCTTCACCTCTTTAAAAAATTAGCCCCCAAAGGAAGTCTCATATACTTTATTGCCAGTTTAACAACCTTACAGCCCATAACCCTCGCCAAACTATCTGAGTCATTACCGTCACCAATCTCACCAGTTCTAATTTGGCAAGATTAACGTTAAGTCTTGAAACCACCTAGAAGACTGACAATATGCACTTGAGGTTGAGTATATGATGTGAGCACAAATGAGTTAGACTATGCAAGAAACCAACCAAGCCAAGAAGATCACGGCTTAGACCCTTTAAGCCTTAGAGACCACAGTTCAGGCCTTATAGAGCATGGAAGACACGACAAGATCCATACAAGGAAGGAGCCTCACGACTTAGTCTATTTAAGTAGAGAAAATATCTAATTCAAATTAAACCAAGTCCATATAGAAAGAAATATATGATGGATCCACTTCAAGGTGTACTTGGGCTTTATGGATAGAGTATCACTAAATCATGGGCCAATAAATTTAAGTAAGACTTTCAAGTCTGTGTTAAAGAACGGATCCATGAAGAAGAGAGACTTGGGCCAATGGTGGAAAACCATAAGAGGATGAGAGCAAGCCCATTCGGCCAAGGGCAAGAAGGAAAATGCATCTTACTCCAAATAGAAGAAGAAACCATGGAAATAAGAAAAAAATTCCTCCGATGCATGAACTTTCCCAACCCAAGAAAGATTCTTTCCCAAGCGGGAATTTTCTTTTTTTTCTTCTCCATAATTGTCAAAAAATCGCAAGTAAGATCATTCATTCAAGGGAGGATCAACAATTAATTCCAAGATCTTCCTAAATCAATCACAATCTTTCAAGTAAAGAGGATCTACAATTAATTTCAAGTCTTTAAAGAAATATACCTCTACAATTAATGATCTTCACCATTTAAGAGGATTTCACAAAAGGAAAGCATATCTACACTATTATGGCTATAATTTTTTTATTTGAAATTTTATTCTTATTTTAATTTTGATTTGGTTTTCTTTGTAATTTTTATAATTAATTATGAGATTTTTTTCTTGTATTTCACATGACCTACGCCCATAAATAGATCTTCCATTCATAGTTGTAGGCATTCTCAACTTAATTAACAAATCAATAAAATATAAAGTTAACTTTTCAACAAGTAAGGTGTTCTTATCATTCTCGTTGAGCGAGGAATTGGGTCAACTTATTAAAATAATCTTGTGATGTTTTTCCAATTCTTATTTTTTCAATTACCTTAGTTCATATTCCCTTATTGATAATGGGTTAAGTAAAAAGGGTTCATTTAGGATTTAAGTTTTGATGTTAATTGAGTATTGTGTGAGTTTTGGATTGCATTGTTGATCCTAGGTTCCACATCAGCATAGCTCGTTTATCCGGCTCACAGAAAAGAATAGAATTACCAACAAAAAATAAATGCTATATTCTCAGTGTTATCTACCGCACCCACTTTGAGGCCTCTAAGTAGCACTGATTCTCTAGCTCCGATCAACATTTGATTCAAAGCTTCCATTACCATAATAAAAAGCAATAGAGATAAAGGCCTACCCTTTGGAAGAAGGACAAAGAACCTCCGTTAACCATGATTGCAAAGGACAGAGAGGTGATTCAAGACATTATGCATCTGCGCCATTTGTTCCCAAAACCCATCTTCATGAGATTATAATCCACAAAATCTCCAATTTACATGATCATATGCTTTGTCCATAACAAGCTTGCATTAGAACCCCTCCCTCCTCCTATGTGTCTACTCATTGACCACCTCAACGGCTAGCAAAGCAGCATCCAGGATTTTCCTACCTCCCATAAAAACATGTTGATATTCGCCGATAATCTTATCCATAACGTTGGACATTCTTCTATCCAAAACCTTGGTAATAAGCTTGTAGATGTTTCTCACCAGGCTTATTAGTCTAAAATCCTTGATATTATGAATTTTGGAAGATCTAGAATATACACTATTTCCCAAACATCATCTCATAATTATATTGACATACTGTTGATCACAGATTTGTGTAGACCACACAATTCAAATTGTGAATATAGTACAATAAATTCATTTTAAATCTATTCTGTCAAAAATAAACAATAAATTCATTTTATGGATTTCTGCGAATGGGACATACAAATCAGGCAAGACAGATTCAACATTTTGCTGTTCTCTTCAGCCATGTCAGGCAGAATAAGATAAAATTTTGAAGCTTTTTGTGCTCATTGAGAACTAAAATTGTAAGATATAAAAAAACATAATTGCAAAAGAAACCAAAATTACTTACCTTCCTTTCTCGAACTTTGTTCTCTATCAATCTGCTTTTGCTGTTGTTGATTTGATTCATGCTCTTGGAAAGGCTTGCCTTCTGAGAATGAATAAGCCTGTGGAACAGAAAACGAAGTTCTGCTGGTTGTTTCCCTCTTAGCTGCGGAAGATTCAGCAGTAGAGCACAAGTCCATGTCTGTCCTTGAAACACCAGCTTCACTGTCGTGACAATGCAACTTATTGGGCCGTAGCTTTTCTTCTTCATTACATTTTGATCTCTTCCTAATGGGTGGCTCATCCCTATAATTCTGCATGGAAGGTACCTGCTGATCATTTGATGAAATAGTAGGGAAATGACTTTTTCCATTCACAATAACAGCTGGGATGGGCATAGTCTCAACAGCCTCGGAGTTATCAACAACAACTTCATCTGTCCCATTCAAGTTGTCAGTCTTTGTGGCTGCATTCAGTTCCCACATCTTGAATATAGCTTGAGTCAAACGCTCTCTAGCCAAATCTATGTTAATTATTGGCCTTGGGTAATTTAATCCCAATTCCACCCCTGAAGCTTTAAGCACAGAAAAAGGAGCATCCCAAGGATGATGGATCCACTCGGTTGGCATTCTTGCTAGCTCAGGCAGCCATTGTCTCACATATTCACCCTCTGGGTCAAATTTTGAGCCTTGAATCTGACTCCCAAAAGTTTCACAGAAAAGAAAAAGGTTACCAGTCACTTCAAATTATTGTTTCAGCTAACAAATCTAAATTTATTTATAATATTTGTTGTTTTCCATTCTGCTCAATCAGAGAAATCGAATCACCATTGCCTAAAATGTTCCATTTTTCCTGATTGTCGCTAGCTTATAAAGAAAAAGCTTTTGACACTGGCCCCGATACAGTTCTGATGACTCAATGTTCTAGCTTTTTCGGGTTATGAAGCCATATAACGGGAATCTACCAACGAAATTTTAGTTAGCATATTAATTCAAATAATCATATACTCAACAGGAGACTCTTATAAAGCAAATGCATAAATTAGAGAGAGCTTAAACAGAAGTTGACATCATGAAAAGTTTAACAGAAAGTATTTGTGAAAACTAGGGATCAAATTTCATTTTATAAATGTCATTCTCAAAAATAAGTTTATTTGAAGTGAGTCATTCTCGAAAATAAATTTATCTGAAGTTTATCAGTAAAAAAATATTAGTGCATATGTTACATTTGAATGTGGAGTCTATTTTCTTCTCTTTTTTTGAGAGAGAGAGAGTGTAGATTCCAGTTTGTTGGTAGAGCATAGTCTAATATTCTTGAGGAGCTAAGACTTGAGGAAGATCTTCAGACACATGCGTTCACAGAATAAAGCACAAAGCATATAGGAACCTCAGATGCAAGAGACCATATATTGCAATTTGATATCCCTAATGGATGCTCAGTACGAAACAACATATATTGACATTTTTATAAATGATATTTGCCAAAAGAAAAATGTCCAACCATATAGAAGTTAGATAACCAGGGTTACCTGTGGGCTGTCTAATCGTTCCAGCTCATGGCCATCTGGTAAGCTTCCAGAAACATACTGCCAACCAAGGATATCACATTCCAAATCTGCATCCAAAAGTGTGTCCCAAAAGTACTTCATTCCCCATCTCCAAGGAAGAAGCAGAAACTTCAAAGCAAAACTCGAGACAATAACTCTTATTCGGTTATGTATCCAACCAGTAGCCCAGAGCTCCCTCATTCCTGCATCTACTAATGGATAACCAGTTCGACCCTGCCTCCAAGCCTTAAAATTGTCCATGTTTGCATGCCAAGGGAAATGTCTCAAGTTCATCAATAGTGATCTGTCATGAGTAAAAGGGAAGTTGAAACAAAGGTAACGAGAATATTCTCTAAGCCCCATAGACCTAAGGAAAAGAAGCACACTCTCTTCCCCAACCGAATTATTTTCTTTTGCCCATAGAATCTGCTTTGTCCTAGCACACTGCAATACTTTCCTTACGCTTAGCTCTCCAAAATGTAGATATGGGGACAAGAGAGAGGTGGAGTTCTCCCCAACCTTCAGTCTATTCTTTGAATAATCATGCAGATGATGTTCCATGAAATCCGTTAGAACCTTATTAGCATTGCTCCAACCTGGACACCATGCTCTCCCTAATAATGCATTGCTAGCTTTTTCTGCTTCATTTTCCAGTCCCAGCTCCTCAATAGAAAATTTCTCAACTGTCCCTGCCATTAACAAAGAAAAAATATTGACAAATTCTTTCTACTATTCATAGCAGGTATGCATCAATTCTTTCAGTGCAGATACACTACATGTTCTCCATATGTGAATCATGAGCAAGTATGAACCTAAATTAAGGTTCTTGAATCCTAAGCATAAGACAGAGACTGCCCTATTATTACTATCATCGATAAAAAAGCAAATGACAGAAATACAGATTACTTTTGAGGAGTTCAAGTCTGAGCAAAAGACAATGACTGATGTTCTCAAAGAAACTTTAAGATTACAGAGACAAATTTTTCATCCATTTGCAGCATAATTTTTAAGAGGGTATTACACAAACAAAATAGAAAAGGATTATGCTATTTCCACTAATTATTTATAGCCCCAGGTAAAGGATTGTCATTATACCAGGAAGTCAGTTTTATCAAAGAAGAAAAATAAAAGCAATTACATGCTGTTTCATTTTACCTGCAGCTGCCTCCAATCGCCAAGGAGGAAGAAGTGAAACAGACTCCATTTGCATGTGCAAGCACTTCTCCCAATATGCATTAAAGGTTGTAAAAGCATGTCCTTTTTCATCATATATTTCCCATGGTTCATACAATAAATCTCCATTATAGCTGTGAACAGAAATGCCAAGCTCCACTAATTTTTCTTTGATGTTGTGATCTCGAACAAGTGAAACAGGATCTGCAGGGAAAAGGGGGCTATTGAAACATGATATTTAAAATCTAACAGGCATCTAAAGGAGTGACTTCAAAAAAGATCACAATCCAAATCTCTTGTTCATAAAGAGACAGTGGACTCTCAAAGGCAAAATGTACAGTTAAAAAGGACATCTTGAGCATATTGAATCACTTGAACCTTTTGGAGTTTGAGATGTCAATACATCAATTACTATAAATAGTCAGCTCACAGATGGAAAACAAAAAGAATGTGTTAAAAGATGTCATAATTTATGGAGCTCAAGATTTCTTATAAAGCTAAAGAGTCCATCCTTCACAGATAAAGAAATTCAAGAAGTATCTCCCTTAGATTCTTCAAACTGCACCATTTCCACGCCCACTGATCTCCTTCCTCTACTCTTTACAATCCCTAGTGCGGAGTAACAGATGGTCTAAAGTGCCAAAATGTCCGTGTTTCTATGTTAGTGATGCAAAAGAAAGAAAAGGCATTTGTATGTCCATGTATGCGGACTTCCTAGCTGAGAAGAAAATGTTCTTTTCAAAAATCAGATTTTATGTGGGAATTTGCATGAACTAATAAAGTAGAAGGTCAAGATATTTTCTACTAAAGAAGACACATGGCAAATTGCTAACAAAATAATCATTATTGAACCTATTCATGCACCTTAAAGTATTTATGGCATATTTCAAAATTGTAAAATGTTGGATGTAAAATAGATCTTCCAAGAGCAGTAACTCATATACAGTTATATATATGAGACAAATGGTAACCAATGATCAAAATAATTTGAATTTTCTTCTCCTTAATTCAAGAATTTCTCCCATTAAGAACTTGATTTTTGCATTATTATTACCATAGTCCATTTTTCTTCATATCCATTGGAGCCAATCTTGCTCCATAATATTGCCTGAGAATTTCCCGATTGATGGCACATTAAGGACACATATTGGCATGAATTTCTAGATTCATATCCATTTGAGCCAATCTAGCTCAATCTTGCTCTAAATTATGCTTGACTTCATCCCTTACCTTCTTAATTTGGAATTTAGTCTTTCCATTTTTCCTGACATGTTTTTGAATAAGAGCTACTACAAGAGGACAAGAAATTGAAGCATACTCTAAAGAATCTTCTTCATTAACAACAAACTGAAATTCTTCAAGAGCATGATTATGAAGAATTCCGTTCTCTCTTTCCACCTTCAAGGATTTTGTCTTCATCTATAGATACCAATGAAGCATCAAGCTCTTAAACAACAACAACAAGAGAGAAGACAAGTTGAAGAAAGAGTTATGAAAAGTTATTTATAAGCTTCCAAATTGTATAATCAAACAAACATTGTTGATTTTATTATTCTTCTTCAAACTTAGTGTGTATATCTCTTGTAAGAAGAGCAGTTGTAAAACTAGGCTTATTACTATTAAGTCTAGAGGGAGTTGTTTTACTTCAACTACTAGAACGCATTATTTTAGGTTCAATGAAAATGTAATTCTCGGGAGTTGGTCCTATGAAAGCCATTGAAAAAGGTAAGAAATTAGCTCTACCTAAGACATTGAAGAATAGTGTTTTGGTTCTACTGCAGCCATTAGAAAGTTAGTGTTTGGTTACTCCTTAGCCACTAAAAGGTATAACTGTAATCTTCATTTTAGTGAATAATTTCAAATTCTAGACTAATGATAGTTAGGGTAGTGGCTCTCCGACTTCAAAAAACCAAACTACTATAAATCATTGTGTTTCTTTTGTTTATTTTCTTTTATTTTGTTGTGCTTTAAATTACTTATATTTTTCTTATCTGAAAATCTATAAGTTATATACATCATTATTGGATAATATCTTCACTCTCTCTAGGTGCTCACTATTTGGGCCAACAGTTGTTAGCAGAGCAAGGTATCTCACTTATATTTGCAGGTTTATTGACCTTGAGAAAAAGGTTTTATGGTACAAATGTTTTCTACCATTGAAGGATCTTCAACTAGGAGACCTTGTTTCTTCTATGGAACCAACTGCAGCTATTGGAAGAATAGGATGTAAATCTACATCATGTAAGAAGATGTAGACGTGTGGGGTGTAATTCTAGATGGACCCAACATTCTAATGAAGATAGAAAATGTGGAACAAATTCCAAAAACTCACAGGGATGGATGGCTGCAGACAAAAGGAACATTCAAGTTGATGCCAAAGCAATGAACATGCTTCATTGTGCTTTGCATCCAAAGCAGTAGAATTATATCTCAACGTTTGTAAGCACCAAGGAAAAATGAGACAAACTTAAAATGCCAAAAGAAGGAACTACACATGTAAATGAATATAAAATTGAATGGTTAGCACATGATTATAAATTATTTAAGATGCAAGATGAAGAAAGTATTGAAAAATATTTTCACTAGATTCACAAACATTTTGAACAATCTCAAAATTTTGGGATTGGCATATCTGAAGTTCGCACTCATCAAGAAAGTACTATTGTCTTCACTCAAGATGTGGGAGCCACAAGATGAGCTTAGATGTCTTGGTTTTATTATTACATAAATTTAAATACTTCTGTTTTACAGGTTGAGGAGAAACATAACAAAAGATATATCATATTAATAGCATCTCCACAAAAGAAATTAAGGAAAGTAATCTTGCTCTATTCCTGGCATTAAATATCATTTGAATTTATATAAGGAATGAACTGAATTTTCTTTTGAAAAGAATAACTTTATATCTTTTAAATGCTTAATTCATTTAAATTATGTTTTAGATTTATGGATTTTATTATTATATAATTTTAAATATTTTTAAATTAATTTTTTTAATGCATATATTTGTGTTTAATTATTTTTTGAAAGAATGATACTAAAAGATCTTTAGTTTTGGATGTTAATACCCATTCTGGGTACCTATTGTTTGCTTTTATATTAATAACAATTCTGGGTATCAATACCTAATCTGCTGCACTTAAATCATTCTTAAAAAATGTAGTCATTCGCCTCTCAACTTTAAAATACCTAAAATGTTATTTCATATCCAAACTATGTTTACTCATTAGCCTTGAATTGAATGTTTTTAAAGGGAGAGAAAAATAATCCCAGTATATTCAAATCATTTTTTGAATCCATCAAAGATCCTTTTTGGCTATTAAAAAAATTTTAGTATATTGTTAGACACACATTTTGCTTTATCAAGTGATTAATACTCATGGTGTAGTTGTTGGAGAAGTGTTATGGAGATACAGATGTGATTTTTGTGATTTTCTTATTAGCGTATTCCTACCTATTCCAACTTCCTCTTTCACATGCTAAATTGATAGAAAAGAGAACTCTTTTTGATTGAGACGAAGAGGGAGCAAAGGTATAAAATTCTGATTTGTGGCTTTGTCATCTTCAAAAGGGAAGATTATCAGTATAATATATTATTTTTGATGATGAAAAATACTCTTCTAGAAAACCAAATTTTATTTGAGAATTTTATATTAAATAATATGGTACAAGGTAACAAATATTTTTTATCTAAAAATATACATGGTGAATTAGTAATAAAATAAATTACTACTAACCATATTCATGCACCTCAAAGTATTTATTGCATGTCTTCAGATCATAAAATTTTTGGAGTTTAGAATTTATCTTCCATGAGAAATCTACTCATCCAGAGTTACAGATATGAATTCAATGGTGAATAATGATCCAATTAGTTTGAATGTTCTTCAACCTAATTCAAGAATTTCTCTCATTAAGAAAACTTGATCTTCGTATTATTATTACTATAATCCATAGTTTCTTCATATTCATTAGAGCCAATCTGCTCCATAATACTTCCTGAACATTTCTACAAATCCTTTGGGCCTTGACTCCTCATTTTCGAATATCTACGCATAAAATTGATCTCCAAATAATTCCTCAATGAGAAGCATACTCTTATATTTCTCATTTCAATTCTTTGTGCTTGAAGCAACATTTGGTTATTCAAGGTTTGGAGGTTAAATAGTTAACCATAAAAACTAAGCCTTTTATTTTCTATCAAAATTCAACCATGTTGTAACCTTTTCCACTTGTGCTTTCACAAAATTCAAAGAAGAAGAAAAGAAAAAGGGTCAGTTTGCATATTACGTAGTTTATTGAGATAAAATCTCAATCTAACCCAGCTTTAGGCTTCTGCTTCCCACTCCTTTATAAAACTAACACTTCTTTTTCCTTTTTGAGACCCATGATTTCTTAATTGTGACCATGTAGTTATAAGCTCCAGTTTCAGTAGAAGCACTATAACAATATGCTGATATGCTGTGGCTTTAAAGATTTTGAAAGTAGCTATAATCTTCTTAAGGAAATTTAAGAATCCTAATTTAATACAGAGTTCATCATACAACTGTTTACTGTGAAAAAAATCAACAGATTGCACGCAATAGAGGAATCAAAAGTTAAATATCTTCTCTGACTTTTATAGTAATCAAGCATTATAGCATCTGGAAGAAGCTGTAAGGAGAGCAAGAAGAAGGATGTACCATAAAGATGATTGAATACAAGTTTGGTCGCTCCAATGGCATTGATGCACTCCAAGAGAGCAGAAAGAGTACTCTGAGCTTTGATCAGCACAAGTTCAGCCCCTAGAGATTTCAAGGACTGTCCCAACTGACAAAGAGATTGCTTCAGCCACCACCTTGATACTCGACCAGGGTAGAACTGCCCTTCTTCTTTTGGGCACCACACATATACAGGGAAAACACAACCATCTCTTGCAGCTGCAGCTAAGGCAGGGTTGTCCTCAATCCTAAGGTCTCTCCTAAACCAAACTACAGTCTTTTCATTAGACATGATAAATACTTAAGATCTTCCGGATCAAACTAAGATGTTAACCAAATTTCTCCACATCTATCCTTCACACCAAACCATAATAAGAGACAAAAAAGCCATCAATCACAAACCTAATCAAAAACCTTAATTTTTCTCATTTTAAGGGCCAGGCAGAGAAAACTAGTTGAAAATGAGACCAGATATTGCAGCCAGCACTTGAATATCTCCTATGGCACCTTAAGAGCCAAACTTGCACGTTGAAGTCCAAACTGAAGATGCTGAGGAATTCCCAAAGTTGAAAATCAATTCCTAACTTGTAAAGACCAAAACAAGCGGCCTACCACTAGAAGCTGTTGCTCAATTTCTAGGTTGCTGTGTAGTCAAGATACCCAACACGCAATCTAAATCCAATTGGCATTACCGTACATGTCTCACCAATCAAAAGTCCATTAATAAAGTTGTAGCACCTCACAAATACTTTCCACTCAGAGACCTTCAGCATGACCCACAGGTAGATCACCGCAGGACAAGCAAGACCCGGATTCAATTAATCCTTCAAAGCTTCAAAAAGAACAACAGTTCATGCAGTTTATAATACACCTGGAGTAGTTCAACTGGGTTCTTTCTATATACAGATAGAAGATCAGATTTCACGCGGCAGAAGGATACATAGAGATCGGAGATGCATCAACATGATCTGCCAATAATCAACATCGAGTTGTCATCCACAAATAACCACCGGATCATTAGCCCAAGTAAAAAGACACAAAAGAACCCACACTCGATCTAGAAAGATCAAAATCAGGTAACCGGATAAGATTAGAGGGATTTTGGCATCACGCTTAGGAAAAAACTTGCTGTTTATTATTCTTACAGCGACATACCGTGGAAGAAAAAAAAATGGAAAAGAGGAGTCTACAGTTGATTTTTACTCATCAAGATCACGTGGGCTATGTTGATTTTTCTGCTGGAAGTGGGCTATGTTGATTTTGGTAGTAGTGGGAGACATCTCTTGTCGTCTGTATGTAACCACTGTACTGTTCAAAAAAATATTAAAAAAAAAAAAAAGATGAGGCTTTTCTTTGTCTTCTCCGTAAATCAATATACGATCGTTTATCTTGTCTGCATAAATTTTCACCTTGAAGAGCATACGATGAACCCAACAACATAACATGTTCCCAACTTTCAAGCCTTACCTTGACACCGATGTATGCTTTTGATAATTTGGCTCTTTCCCACGTTTTCATTTATGTTCTTGATTTTTTTTTTTAAAGCGAAAACAAAACTGTAGGGTTTGTATTTCTATTAATGACGTGAAATTAAAAAATAAACTATTTACTATTCATTTAAAACTAATTATTAATTTTTTAGTTTATTTAACTTACTGGATAAATAATTCTTTAAGTAAAACTACTCTTCTGTGATTTAACTGTTGAGATTATATAATACTCTAATCTCTCGTCTCCCATTCCAAAAATAATAAAAATAACACCTCTGACTACTTCGCTAATGTATTAATGGCGTCAATCAGAATGGTTCCTTATTAGAATTAGACCATGATATTTGATTCGCCAAATACATCATTATTGTATATTCTTTCATATATATAGCGCAACCCAATACTTGTTTTTCAAGTTTCTAATCCTTTACTTTTTTTGAATCGAAATATCTGAATAATAATAAATTCACTCTTGACAGTAATATATGTTGTATATGTAAATCCTAGATATGAAAATATGCGGAATTCGTCCATGAAAATGAAAAAAGGGGTATAGATATAAAGAAAAAGGGATAGGCTGAGCGCATAAATGGATATGCTAAAAGACGAAATGAAATAAGAGCTAATGGTCACCTTAAATTACAACATTCAAATATTTAAGCCATTACCCATGGCTTCACCGTAAAACCACTTCAGACTCCCAATTGCTGCACCACCAGGTAATAATAACCTTCTCAGAATTTGCAGTGGAAGGAGAAGGATAGCTGAAACAATAAAATATATTTTTTCATGGTCTCCCACTCGTTGAGTCCTGATGGAAACTCAAGTTGGAAAGCAAGTCACAAGTAATACAAAGTGCCAATTCCATTAACAATCCATAGCCACACCCATTATCACCTGAGAAGCATCATGGCAATAAGGAGCCCACCATCCCACAACCCCAGGTGTCACAATGAGCTCCTGATCAGCCTTCCCAAGTATTATTAATACTTAACCTATTTATATATATTTATGTATGTATTCTGTGTTGGATACAATTCCTACACATATGATTGGCAGCTAACCCAAACAACAAAGGACCTGTTCCTTTAGGTTGTACAATACTCAGTGTGCACGTTCTCTGAGCACCTCGAGGTCCATTTCAGTCGGGTCAGTGGCCTGGATTTCATAGTGAATGCCATCCAGCTCCCTTCGAAATCTGTCCTTGGATGTTGCGTAAAGCATCTTTGCACGAATCCGAGACACAGAAGGAGACCTGAAAGTAATATTATTTCCAAAATCATAAATTGTTTAATAACCATTGGCATGAAGACTACTGACACCAATCCACATTGAAGTTTTTTTTTTTTTTTGGGGTGGGGGTGAGAGAGGGGAATATACCCACATAGATGATGGTCAGCCCATATAAGAGAAGTCAAATATAGAACCAATTAACATTCTCAAAAAATATACACATATATATAGACCAATCAAAACTATTCGCTTCATGCTAATAGGACATATGGAGACCCTTTCACATCTTTAACCATAATATGCAAACCAACCTCATTAAATGGTACTGACAGTAATAGGGGCATGACAAATAAATGAGATCCCTATGCTCTCAATCTTGTGACGGATTTCTTATATAGATCATTGATCTTATTACAACATTATTAGATAGATCCTGTGCTTGTTGTAATAAAAGGACGTGCATATTATTATGTGATGCAAAACCACAAAATGATATATGATCATCCTCTGATTATTAGAAGGCAATTCTGATAACAGAGGCAAACAAAAGCCATGAATGCTCCAACATATTAATACCACTCAATTTGAAAACCTGAAAGAAAATAATCAAACGTGAAGAAGTAACAAGTAACAGCTTATGGTAACTACCAGCTGAAAGACAGAAAGAAAATGAATAGCAATAAATTCATAAACTTAACGCTGCATATAGTTCACGAAAATATTGTCTAGTTTTTGTTTCCTTTCCAAGTATCTTTATATCTTTAGATATATTCAAGTATATATAGATAAATAGGTAGATATATATACAAGCATATAATGTATTTTGTACACGTACCCATGTCTATGTATTGACACACATAATCCACATTATATGCATACATATATAAATGTACAAATTTTTATATATCTATGTATTTATATATGTTCTTGTGTGTTGGTAAATAAAAAAACTGTTTTCTAAAATATCTCAAAACAGCTGTTTAGCTATTTTTAAAACACACCACATTTATTTTTCTTTTCTAGTGAGTACTTTTACCATCAACTTACTGGCATTTTTTACAGTATTTTCATTTACTATGCATGTAACATGCATATACACTTACCATATATACTATTGCACTGTCAACAAAAAATATTTCGTTTTGAAAGAAACTATTAGCAAAAAATATAAAAACATTTATGCATTGGCCTATAGAAACATGTGTCTATACTTGCATAACATATAAATATTTAAACTGTGAGTCGAAAATGAATCTATAAAACTTTTTCCTCTATCAGATAGTCTTTGTTTCCAATAAACCCAAAAGGACTAAGATCTGCAACG